AAGAGCTTTTACTTTAGTCAAATCGTCAAAATGACCCTGGTGAGAAACTACCTTTAGTCAATACTTTAGTTACGTCAATGACTAAAGTCAAAAGTTTCGTTATACATCACTACTTAGTGGTATTGATCCCTGTCGAAGGAATCTACTTGTTCAAATGATATATGCTTCCTTGATGATATTTATTACTCGTATCATAAGATATCGTAATTACAGAAATTTGATTGCTTTTTCTTCACAATGTAGCAGCTTCAAAAGAAGAAATTTGCGTGTAATACTCCAATTTTGGGGTTAATTCTTCCATGATAACGTGACGTATTAGTATCAACAAAGAGAGCTTACATTTTCAGTTTGGAGGAACTAAAGGATTTGCGAGAAAAAAGTTCAGAGGCAAAATGACTTGAACTGTACAATTATGATGTTAAATAACTTGCTAAGTTTTGATCCCTAAAACTTTATATAATGAATTTCACTATTTTTTGGTATGATCCATTGACAATAGTATTAGTTAGGCAACAATGATAATATTAATGGAAATTTTACTGTTTACAAGTCTTTTTAGTCATAATTTATTAGAGAGCTCCTGCAGGTAATTAATTCATTATTACAATCACTTGGTTCGTCAGGTAAGCATGATAATGGGTTTTATACCTTAACAAAACATTGTGCAATTACGAAAGAAAATTTTATTTCATAAAATATGCATGTAATCAACAACTTTTATTTAAATATATTAATATTTCAAATTTCAAAGCAATGGCACTAGGAAAACAGAAGTTATCTTATTGTTTCTCTGACACGCAATATATCGCACAGTCAAGTTTATATCGGGTTGGAGTATAGGTATTATAGTAACTTTATTCTAAAATTTATATGAGACTGTACAAATTTTAAATCAAAAATATACTTTAGATTTAAAACGGTATGTATCAATGCATCGACTTATATACAGATCTATATTAAATCCATACTTGCTTTATTAATTGTTTAAATTCGGGTAATGGTCCATGGTGTTTCAATCGAACTGGTATAGTTCCAAACTTTTACATATTAATGTTTTTACAGAGCGCGTTAATTATTTAATTTATTTTTTATTATAAGAAATTAAAGTTTTGAACTAAAATATAATACATTATTATTATGACTATTAAGAATTAAAAATTAAATTAAGTAAATAAATAAAAACTATTTGAATTTTGTTGAATTTTTCGTTTCTTTTTTTTTTTTTTTGAATCGCTTCAATATTTTCTTTACATGATAGAGCAATAGTTTGTAGCATTTTCAGGTTTTTCAGTGGCACCTTTTGAAATGGTGACTGAGCTGACGATAGTTTGAGCGATGGCTTGTGTTGATTTCATTTTGTAGATTTGTAAAGTTTTGTTTTTTTTAATTTAAAAGTTGTTTTTGTTTTATTTTTACTCTTCAAGAGATATTTTTATTTTTGTTTTGGTTTTTTGTGTTGGAAAAAAATTTTTGAGACGAAGAAAGATTGCATATTTATAAGAATTTAAATATTATACAAACAATAGTTAACCGTTTTCAACAATACCAAGATTAAGCTTATAAATTTTGTTTATATACTTGTATAACTTCCCTTTTTTTACTTGTTTCAAAAATATATTCAAAACGTCAGTGCGGTTCCATAGAACCCAAAACTGGGAAAAATATTTTACAGTGAAGTGTTTGTACTCGTATTATTCATGAATGTGAGTTTCATAATATAATATAATATGAACACAAACTGGACCCTGAAAACTATATACTGTCACTATATATATAAAATAAAATGTATTTCCAAATTTAGAAATATTATAATACAATCCAATCTCAATTTCGGATTATTCGTAATACAATTCAATCTTAATTTGGATTATTCATAATACAATTCAATCTTAATTCGGATTATTCGTAATACAATTCAATCTTAATTCGGATTATTCGTAATATAATTCAATCTCGATTTCGGATTATTCGTAATACAATTCAATCTTAATTCGGATTATTCAATCTTGATTCGAATTACTCATTCAATCTTAATATTAACTCGAATGACTCAATTCGAATGACTCATACAATCTTAATATTAATATTATCAATATTATTTGTAATACAATTTAATCTTAATCTTAATATTATTCGTAATGCAATTCAACCTTAATTCGAATTATTCGTAATACAATTCAATCTTTAACAATAGTTTCGTTTTATTATTTTATTACTGTATTAGATTCTTTAGTTTATGTTCGAATTATCTGTATATTCACAAGATTTGATATTAAATTTATTATTATAAGAAAATAAAATTAGAATTATAAGAAAATTATGAAACTTACAAGGATTCAACTGACGAAGAAATTTTTTTAATTGGATCGGATTAACAATGTGATATTAATTTTAATTATACATTGTTATCAGTTATTATTATTATTGTATCAACCAGGAAATTTTATATGATCGGCAGGGTTAGGATAACATTATGTTGTTATTATTACGTTTCTACACGATGACCTAAATGTGCTCGTCTATGAACTATGTATGCTTCCGGATCGAAGGAATAACACCACATAATATTTGAATTTGTAGTGTAAAAAATTGATCCAAGATAATAATAAACTACTTGCTGAATAAAATGTAGATCATTTAAAATTTTAACAAGTCGTTGAACCTTTCATTAAAGACCAATACAAAACATCTTAATAAAAAATGGTTAGAACGTTCCAAAATACAATTTGCTATTAATCTTTACTATTTGTTTAAAAGCTAGTTTTTGAGTAATTGCCAAACGACTAAAATCATTAAAAAATCACGAAAATTAATTAGAAAATGTAATCTTAAATAAAAAGGTTGGATGGAGTTACATTGGAAAGTAAGGGATTTGATATTTCCTTTCCCATAGCCCATAAATAGTACCACGTTCAAAATCAGCAATTTTTATTCTGCAAATGGACACAATTTTTTTTTTTAAAAAAATCATTATTTTCTTTATATTATACATGTTAAAATGTCAATTTTTAAATTAATAAAAATAGTATATTTACAAATCTTGTAATAAAATATCTATTAATTATTGATATTTTGAAAATGTCACGACTATATCTAATTACAGTCGTATTAAGGCTATAATAATTTACGGCCGAAATCCAGTCGCGACTCAGTCGACTTGAAAAATATCTAGTCGCGGCTAGATATATATAAAATATTTAGTCGCGGCTACGACTAGTTGGTTAGCAGCACTACTAATAGCCTGCTCAATTCCTCATTCTAGCTTTTATTTGGACGACATAGGATATATAAAGTAAAAGGTAACATTATCAATATCATATTCTTATTTCAGAAAGTGTCCGGCAACCTGAATATGTTGAAGTGGAAGTGGAAGTGAACATGAGTGAAAAAGAACCAATTATTCCCATAGAATAAGAAAGAAAAGTATTTGAAACTGCAAAAAAATTCCTATAACAACAATAATTAGCTACAGAAAAAGACGTTAAATATGTTGGTGAATTAATAAATCATTTAAATAGTTCTGTAGATAAAAACAAAATTCCAATCCTTGTTGTTAAATAATGATATTAAAAATAAATAAAATTAATTGCTTTGAGCTATATTCCACATAAATTCCGAGGATAAAGAGGTATGACTGTATATATGACTCATTATATTTCTAGGTATATGCTTAAGAATATGCATTTCAAATTATCCATTGCACATTTTATAAACAGTTAGTTATAAGCGGTGTGCGTTATTAATTAATTTTTTTATTTTATTAAAAAAATATAAAAATAAATACACCATTAAAAATTATAAATTACACCATGAAAAATTATAAATTACACCATTAATAATAAATAAATAATAAATTAAGAATTTTTGAATTTTGTTGAATTTTTGAATTTTTGCAATTTTGCAAATTTTTGAATTTATTGAATTGCTTCGCCATTTTTTTGAATTGCTTCGATATTTTCTTTACATTACAGAGCAATGGTTAGTGGCATTTTCGGGTTTTTCAGTGGCACCTTTTGAAATGGTGGCTGAGCTGACGATAGTTTGAGCAATGGCTTGAGTTGATTTCATTTTTTAGATTTGTAAAGTTTTGTTTTTTAAAATTTAAAGGGTGTTTTTTTTATTTTTTACTCTTCAAGAGATATTTTGTTTGATTTTTATTTTTTATTTGGTTTTTTGTGTTGGGAAAAAATTATTGAGACGAAGAAAGATGGCATATTTATAAGAATTACAAACAATAATTATCCGTTTTTAACAATACCAAGATTAAGCTTATAAATTTTGATTACAAACAATATATATAACTCCTTGTTTCAAAAATAAATTCATAATATTAATGTAGTTCCATAGAACCTAGAACCGGTAAAAATATTTGCAGTAATAGTGCTTGTATTCGTTTCAAAATATAATATGAGGATCCTGAAAACTATA